AAATACTGGCTATTGGAAATTTATTTTTTAATATCTCTAACAAGCTGTAGTATTAAATATGATAAAGCAAAGGATATCTACTGACATTACATTTGCTTTAATAGCACGTGAGCCTACTTTAAACATGCAAAATATGCGTTTAGTCGAATTGCGTTTGTTCTCACATATATTGAATAAGACAAAAATCTGTCTCGGTGTGCTACAGCCTTCGGCCTGATACTGTTTACTTCTGATATAGTACGGAGAAAGCCGTGCCCTTCTGCGTTAAAATACAGTTTCGCTTAACTATTATTCCACGTATTGACGTAAGAGGTGCACACTGGTGTTTCATTTGACTAGCGGATGATTTATGTAGACGCATCATTAACTCCGCCACAATCAGATTAAATAATATTCCGACAAAGTGACCGCTGCTTTGTGGATTAGTATGAAATAAATGAAATTCGTTTAATGCAATCTGTTTTGCATTTTCGCAATGTTCTGGTCAAATTCCTAGGAAGTGATAAGCTGGATGTAGCTTGAAGGTGTAAAAATGGAAAGACAATTCAAATTGTTCAAGAAAGAAAAAAGGGAAGCCTTTTTGCTGGAAAGAATTCTCGGTACTAAGGCATTTGCATTTCTTTATTACTCTGTATATTAATATTTTTTTCACATTCACACAATTAATCTTTTAAACATGGTAATGGGAATAATGGGAATGTGATAAAAATCATGGTGCTCAATCTTTACTTCTAAGAAGAACGATGTACGTTGTCGAGTAGGAATTAATTTAGCAAAATAAATGTACATGGTCGACAAAGTTTTATTGAATTTCAACTTAGCGCTGTAGACAAAGGAATGTAAAACGGATGGCGAGGAAATAGGTGAAATCTCTCGAACAAGAGTTCGGGATGTAGAGGGCGCAGTGTTAGCGGGGTATATCCGGTGTCCGCTCGGGGCGGCCTCTGCCGGGAAATAATGCCATTTCCGATGAGGACCCGCGGGCCGTGTCGACGAGATTAGGGAAAAAAATACGGGAATTTAATAACATCGTCGACACACGTCGTATTGCAAATAAACACTGGTGATATAAGTCGCCTCGTTCGCTAAGCATATGGGACTTTTTTATTTAGTGCGTCAAGATTCATGCAGAAAGCCATGTTGATGACTGATGATGCCTACTGCTGGAATTGGTTATTGCAGGTTTTAGGTGATAGCGACCAGAAGTAATGCAGGAGCAAGTGATGCTTAATTTTATTAGTAAAAACGTTACTCATACATAGATTGAAAAAAGCCTTTTTGATATTTTATAAAAAGTCTACCGTTTAATTTTGAGTGAGCATATTTTTGATGTGATAACATCATTTTGGCTGTACCTTTAAAAGATGTTTGATAAAATGCGACCGCTGTAGAAAATTTAACGTTTAAACTGTCTTTTGGTCCACTAAAAAAACGTGAAATAGGTTTTAAAGAAAATCATAAATGTAATTTTGTCCAATCACAGAATTTCTACTTTGACGAAATTATTTTTAACCGCGTCTGAAAAAAAATTATTGAAAACATGCAAATATTCGTTTCATTACTATTGGATCATTCCCATTTATTCCAGAAAAACTGTTTTTTTTTTTAAATCGTTTCAAATATGCTACAGAGAACAAAATTTCTATATTATTTTTGAGATATACAGTTTTTCGAGACCAATTCACAACTTCAGAAAGTAATTTAGGTTCTTATTCAATTAGGTAGAAAACGCCTCGGGCAGTAATACAATACATTCAAGAATAAACAACAGGGAAGGCAAGTATCGAACATCTCAGATTTCTTTATGGGCATCCCATAAACTTAGGAAACTTAAATAATACGCTTCGCTAGAACTATTGTTTACCAAACGTGCGTTTACATTGACGAAACAAATGCATAAAAATATTATCCACCTTTTAAAAGTATAAATTTCTTAGTTTTACAGACGAATATTTACTTCCTAAAACACATTAAATAAACTACATCAAACTAATGTTATAAATGTGAAAGTTTAGATGCATGGATAGATGATTGGAGTTTGTAGCCTAAACTGCTGAACGGATCTGGATGAAATTTGCCATAGATGTAGAACATAGTCTAGTAGAACACATAGGCACACTTTTGTTTTTTTTTTAATTCCACACAGACGGAGTCGCGGGCAAAAGTTAGTATTTTGTAATACGGTTGTGTTGCTTACAATGTCGCTAGAATTACCAACCATAGGTCAATATATACAACATTGTGAATTAACAACATTGAGACGAAGACCTCAATAGTGGCTTAGTGTAAGTTACACCTTAACAAATGAGCAGTTTCCTGCACAAGTCGAGTATCGGGCGGTTGAGCGGTAGTAAACTTGGCCATTGCACCAAGTTCGTCAGTTCAACCGCATTTGTCGAAGTTGACTGCAAGTTCCCGTCTCGATTAGTATCGACACCAACTTGGACTTCCTCAATGTAATACATAAAATATTTATAAGAGTTTACATAAATAGCGTATGTTATTAATAAACTTGAAGCGTAAAGGCTGGTATTATTGAATATTTGGTATTGTGTCGAAGCAGCGTGGCCGCGGACAGCGCCACCTCGTGGTATGTCCGGGGAATTTCATTTCGTTAGCCCGCGCCCGGGCTTACGGATTCCTGCGGTTGCCCGTTCGCTCGATTTTCACTATGCCCATTGCTGATTTTGTTTGGCAGTCGCAGTCATTAAAATTGTAATACACGTCGCTCAATTACTGGGATTTGGCAGACGCAATATTAAATTTTTCAGTTGATTATGTTGAAAGTATCAAACATAATATAAAATCGCACAGTGAATTATTCAACTGAAATGAAAATGCCGTTTTATATTTAACGTAAATATATGAATATCATGTTACAGTATTAATACCGTTGAAAGCAACATTATGAAGCTGAAATATTTAAGTGCTCTTCAACAAAGAATAGACAAGATTATCACAGTGTACACAAACATTTTATAGCCTAATTGGAAACATTCTTCTCAATTTCCAGCGTTCCATTAGACAGGATGCTTTACTCATAAAATAACAACAAAGCAAAAGTGAGCTAAATAACGTTCATTCGACTACTTTGATACGAACTCATATATTTTCATGACTAAATTTTTACTCAAACTTGCAGATTTCAAAACAAGCTTTCGTGTCCAATGATGCCAAGTAATCAAATAATAAAAAAAGCTTATTTTACTTTAATGTTTGTTTATTACAGATGTCTTTTAAATTTTCAAATATATTTTTTGGATAATGGATGTCAGCTATTTTAAGTAGCTGATAATATTGAAAATATTTGTAATGCTCTCAAAGTATTAAGTCATGACCGTCGGCGCGGATGCTCTTGCTAATATTGTGTTATACCTTATCGAATTTGCATGTTTTTACTGAATAACATTCCTTTGCCGCTGCAGAGATCAAAGGCCGAGGCGAAAGTGATTTCTCACCGAGTTAGTCGAACAAGATCAAGTCCCGCCCCTCCTATCTGGCTCCTGAATAATTTTGATGTAATAAGGAAAATTGTAAATGGGCATTCGACTTTTGATATTTCATACAGAATATGAATTGCGTTATTTATTAAAATTATCTTAACCTTATTTAGTAATGTGTTGTTAATTTATTACTATGTTTTAAATATTAATTTGTAAAAGGTTTTAAATCTTCCATTATTTTTTCTATTTCTTCAAGTTACAATAAATGACTCGTTTAACTTGTACACTTACATCGACAATAACAAGCGTGTAAAAGTCACCTTAAGGAGACTGTACACAGTCGGAGAGAGAATATATGTCTCGTTGAATATCGATTTCAAATAAAATCGCAGCCTTTTCAGATAACGAGGTGACATTTCCCCTTTTGCGGGCCCCGTTTGTCGCCGGCGTCGCACAATGCGAATTTATCCACCGAAATAAGGAGATAACGAACGTAATGGTTAAGACGAGAGGAAATACGGAAATGATTGGCCCGAGCTGCCAATTGTACAACCACTTACATGTACTAAATAATATTTCCTTTCGACAATCATTTATCTGTGAATATGATATCGCGATTTATTACTTATGATAACAGATTATTTTATTTTAAGTATTGTAATTTTTACGTAAGAAACTTTCTATTCTTGGCATTGTAATAAAATATGGAATATTCATAACATTTATTAATTTCAAAAGGTAACCGTTGGTAAAAGCAAATGTTGTAAACCATTATTTTCGTGTTGTGTTATTTACTTACTTACTGCGTTGGCGCAGCGACCCAAAGTTGTGTTATTTTCATATTACAAAATTCATAGTTGTCTTCAACACAAACATTATAAGATATAATATCAAAGTAATTAATGTAACATTTGGCGAAGGATAATATAGAAGAGGGCGGCCTCTATAAGGCCTTAATGATGTCCGCCCGCCGCCGATACTTGTTGCTTCCTCGACCCACATTGTATAGTGTGTACTATCCCTAACGATATACTCGTAGTCTAGCTTAGTATAACACTCGAGTTTCTATCGTAGATATACATCATAATCATATTATAAATTCCAAAGTTTAGATGATTAGATGGATGGATGTTTGTTAGAGTTTGTAGCCTAAACAGTTGAACTGATTACGATGAAATTTGGTGTAGATGTAGAGGACAATCTGGAATTTTTGTGTGCTTAGATTCACGCGGACGAATAGCGGGTAGCGGGTGATAGGTAGTTTTCATTGAATTTTAAAAAAAGTGTGTTTGTTCTTTTTATTGCCCTGTATGTTAAAAGATTAAGATTAAAAAAATATTTAGTTTATAAGATTAAAAAAAAAGTCAATACGAAACACGATCAAGTATAACCGTTGGTTATTTTGTCGATAACACTTCTTGAAAATGTATTTTATTTGCATAGATGTCTAGTAGCTAAAAAAAAACGTACAGACGAATTGAGTACCTCCTTCTTTTGGGAAGTCGGTCAAAAATACACTTCAATTTAAAACTAAAATAAATTTTCTTTTGTCAACAGATTCTTCTACCTGTATCACTTCTCGTTCTACGCATATCACTACCGCTTCAACGGACAATACAGCAGTCTGGCACTGGTTACCTCCTGGCTGTTCATACAAGTAAGTATTGTAATATAAGCTAGCTCGTACCATCTTTCGACTGCATCGTCACCTCCTTTAGGTGGGATCGTGGTCAAGCGCTAGCTTAACAAATAATAAAAAAAAAATATATTATTAAGTAGCTATCGCCCGCGACTTCATCCGCGTGGATTTAAAAAAAACAAAAGTGAGTAGCCTATGTGTTCTTCCAGACTATCCTCTATGTCTATGCCGAATTTTATCGAGATTTGTTTAGTAGTTTAGGCTACAAACCCTAACAAACATCCATCCATCTAAACTTTCGCATTTATAAAATTATTAATTAGTAATTTATAAATTAGTTAGAAGTAAGATTAATATACTTTTTTTAATACTCATTATCTGCCGTAGGGTTGAAAATCAAAGACCTAGTGATCTGAAAACATGCCTGAAGGGTATACCTCTTGCGGCCTTTTGTTTTGTTAGATGAAAGGAATGTGGGAAAGTGTTTAAACGTAATATGTATCACGAAATTCAAATGGTTTGTAGTAGTAAGTTTCCAGTTTATAGTCGGAATTAATTTCGAATTAATGCATAGATTAAATAGGATTTTATAAAACGGAAAATACACAATTTTAAAACATACCGAGCACAAGATGAATATGTTTTTAGAATCGTGTCGTGCACAAACATATGCGACATGTTTTTGTCAGCGGCAGTTTGATACAGCGGGTCGGCGCCGCGGGCGGTGTCCGCTGTCCTCTCCACCTCGGACAGTTAATAGATAAACTGGTTGTCTGTACTTTATTAGCTTTCCGCCGCTCCTCCGCAACCGTTATTAATATTCTACCGTTGAAAATCGCTCAACGAGAACTCCGTAAATATAGACTGTACATTTAGATACTTTGTAACGTAAACAGGATAAACAGGGAAGAGAATACTCTTTCTTAAATCATTTTAGATAGAATTTTTATTGTTAAAAAAATGTTTCTGATAGAAAATTATTTTATAATAAGTTCTATTTAATACAGATATACTGGGATACCCTATTGTCTTATCAAACTGTAAAAAATGTCTAGTTAATCTATACTAAGAGACTGTTTAACAAATCTGAGTGCGGTAGTTATTTAAGGACAACTGAACAGTTGAAAACTATTCAATAGTCTAACATAAAAAGGAACAGTAACGTAGTATTATTTTCGCAACAATTGAACTACCTTGTTATTATTTTTCAAAGCCTCGGGAGTGTAAAAGCGTGGCGGAGTTGTGGGCATTTGTCAACAAATCACGTGTCGTTATTGTGAGCCCGACGCCCTCGATGTCTATCACCTCACAAACTTTTACTGTTTCCGTTTTACAATATAACATCGTCAACTATATAAGGTGGTGCTCACGGTTCACCGATTTTGTTTTTTATGATTTTGTCTTCATAGATTAACCCGACTAATCGGCCGATAAAAAGTCAGTAGTGTGCGGGCACTCTCATAGACATTTAACACTTCGCATGCGGGCAACGTATTTTTACGTATATGCAGTCGCAATTTGCCCTGGTCACAGAAAATTAAATGTTTAGTAGTTTTTTAATGAATTATATAGTAGTTTTCATTTTACTGCGACTTTTCTGAAAAACCAAACTTCCCATTCAATGAAAAAGTCCGTTGCACACTTAATACAGAGCAAAGTATTCCCGCATGCCAAGTGTTAAGTGTCACTACATTAATATATGGATTTTAATAAATAAGATGACTTTTTCTTACTTCGTATAGCCGGAATATGTTACGGAAGGAAGTATTATGTACGCCTGTTAATTAACGTCGTGTTAGTTTCGCAAAACAGGATGTAATTAGTAAAAAGAAATAATCATCTCCGTACATCCGTTTCCTCTTGATGTCGTATGTCGATATTCGAAATAATTATGACATATCTTTAGCAATAATGATGTTATATTCAACAGTTCCTTTTCGTGATCAAATGTTTTTAGATCTGTTACTACAAAGACTATGAAAAAAGATTATAAAACATGGAATTAATTTATAATCAAAGTAAATCTATCCTAAAGCCTCTCAATAAATTATGCATTTATATTATTCAATTTGTCTACGATAAAGTTCATATACAACTTCTTCTGATTGTAGTTTTATTTCAAAGATTGAGTGTTCCGGTTCGATTTCCGGCCGCGTCATATGCGGAAGTTAATAACACGCCGCGGCGACCACTCGGGGCTTTGTCCACAGTCCACTGCCCAATGCCCACACTCCCACTATGCCCACTGCCCAGACCGGAGCTTGCGACTGACACAAATTAACTCTTAGTTTTGTATAGCGATATATATTTTATGTTTTGATTGCTTTGCCTTTTAGTATTTAAAAATTATTTGTCAAGACATCGATTGTAAGAATTGTCATAGTATTTTTGTGATTTCTATTTGATTCAATTTTTGACGGTTTAATAATGCTAATACTTTATCGATAATGGTATGCAAAATTGAAACCAAGTATGTAATTTATATCGAAATTCTATAATGGAATAATGACTCTCGTGTTGTATTAATTTAGTATACTTCGCATAAGAGGGATATGGCCCGGGGCGGGTGCGGATTTGAGTAGGCCGTGGCAGGGCGAAGAAAAACAAGACAGGCCTGCGGAATGCAAAGTGGGGGCTTATCTTATAATCATCGAGCGTGTCAACTTATTAATAAAAATCATATTTCACGAGGTCGGTGCCCTTCTCCCGTCGCACCCCGCGTCCGTCCTCGCCCCGGGCTACGCGGTGCGCATACCATTTCCTACTGATGCTGTTTTTTAACACCATCCCTCCTTTTGTATATTATTACTATTTTTTTTTTAATTTTTCTGTTTAATCATGTTTATCCGCTGTGTTGTAATATTGCTTATGTGTACAAAATAAAGATAATAATAAAAAAAAAACACCATCCCTCGATATACTTAGTGATACATTTTAATTGTTAAATCAACAAGTCGCTATAGCATTCAGCTTTCTCAAACTTTGTCTTTTAAAACAGGATTCCTTATTTCCTAAAGTAGAATTTCTACTTTATCATCATCTCCCTATCATACTCCCGTAGGGTCGGCTCGTCAGGTTTTTGTCCTCCACATAACACTATCATACGTCATCTTAGTCATTACACCCTTTTTGATCATGTCACCTTTGACGCAATCCATCCATCTCTTTCTAGGTCTGCTTCTACAGGTACACCTCGACATTGATAACTATCGTTCTCCTTATAGTTAAGGAGTTTAATCTTAACTAATATGAGAGTTAAAATGTAGTTAAATATGTGTAGAGCTCTAATAGTGGTTCAGCTATTTTCACAAAGTCCTAAATCAACAGGCTCGTCTTCCATTACCAAAACAAGGCTCTGGTGTAATAATCGTGCAGATCTCTTGCAAATTATGGTTAAACTCCAAGTAAACACTCTTAGAGATTTACCTAACGACTAGTTCATTTATTAATAATAATCTGTTAACATAAATACAATCGAGTATAATAGATAATTCATTATTTATACGTAAATATAACGATGCAAAATTATTTATAGTAATTGCGTCACTATTTTTGGTAGAGAGTGTACGTTTAAACTCACGATATGTTGCGACAATTTAGAAACACGTCTCCATTTGGCAACAATCAACGATATCACAATGCAAACCATTTGTAAAATACGATATTCCTGTCCGAACTTTGTCGAACAACATTTTGAATAGGTACATATTCTCTAATAAGGTTTTTACGGAATTTTTTAATTCCGTTTAGCTTTAGCTTATACATTTGTTGCAATGGTAATGTAATTGTCTTGTTTATTTCATTTATTGTCATTTGAAACCCCTGAATCTGAACACTGACCTTTCATTTATTGTCATTTGACACCCTGAATCTTCATCAAGGGACATTCTTTACAAAAAATGAACGTTGCATATTTCAGAGAGAAAAATCTTTTACCTGACAAAGTAAAGTTCCTTAGAGTCCGTTGTGTTTTTTATTTGCGTTTTAAATCTAAATAACTTTATTTTCGCCAGAATTTTCTACCGTCTTGGCATAATCAACGCTCAGCTCGTAAACTGTTTGAGGCGACTTTCGGTTAAAAAATTTATCTCAAAGAACATTTTTTGCTATCTTTCTTTTAGTTTAAATTAAAATAATTTTGAAGTGTTACTACATTATTGACAAGTATTATCTAATTCTTGTGTATAGAAAGGTATAACTTAATAGGTGTAGTTAAGTTTATTGTGTGTTTGAAGCTTGAGCCAATATAAACGATTTAAAATATAAAATAAATCAGTCGTACCTCCTACAACGATGTACCGATGACGAAGATAACTTCCACGGAAAAGTAACAATAAAGTATTTTAAAGTATGCAAATATAACGTTATAACCGAGAAATCATGGTTCAAAAATTTTCCAACCATAATCAACACAAAACGAAAATGATCTAAAACTGATAAACAAAAATTCGTGCCCTATTCACTTACCAGTAGCTGTCTATTTAATAGGGGTTGAGGTAAATCTCAAAGCGGCCGTTTTAATGGACGTTAAAAAGGGACATCATCTCTGTCCATTAAATACCTTTTAAACGTTTGATCCTTTTTATATTTGCAGTAGCGATGTTCGCGACCAGATTTGGGATATGGATGGATCGCGTTAATTAAGGCTCCACCGTGAACTGTTGGCCAATAATCGCCTAACTGACGTTTTTTATTCATATCGGCCTAGTGTGTGTCCTATGCCACGCTTTAATAAATACATAACGTTTTTTACATCATAACTCTGGCCCTAAAAGTTTAAGAACAATTGAAGGAAAAAATACATTGAGTTAGGATCGTAAACATTTTTCAATTACACCGTGGCGTGTTGCACGCCAAGAATGATAAATCATAAAGATGTCCCAACTTGTCCTCGACGTTAACCCCTTACACCTTCTCGCTGCTCGAAAAAAAAAAACTCAAAACGAGGGGATCAGAAATATATAATTTCAAATAAAAGTTGAGTCGGGGCGGTCACAAGTTTCTTAATTAAAACTTACGTCTGGTGCCATGAGGGGTGGGAACTGTGACCCAGAAATAAATAAATAAAGACGGGACGCCAGTACTGTCATGAACTGCTCATTTATTTGTCTGCAGAAGTTTTACTGTGTGCTATGGTTATACCTTTAGAGGTACAGCAGCTTCTCCAAAACTCTTTAAAACTTTAATCTTACCTTTTGTTATACACGACTATGTGATTTGATAATTTTTTTTCTTTGCAGCACTCTATGTTGTACTTCTTCCATCATTACGAGTTGCCTGTGATACTACAGCAGGCCCACCTGCAACAGCTACTTCTCCGGACTCATCACGGTATGGGAGGGATGATGGGGCTAGCGGGCATCGCGGCCCTAGCCAGCGGCGCCGCCTATCACGATGCACCCGGCACCGCTACGCAAGCCACTCCGCCTACCACGCAGTCAACCACACAAACGGTACAAAACACCGCTCAATCTACAACTCAAACTTCGCCATCCGTATCAACCGCGCAGACAAACACCACACATACCGGTGAAGTTATGACATCTAGAGGGACTTCACCAGAAACCATAGCAACAGGGACAAACACGGTCAATGATACAATTATACCTTCGCCGGTATCCAATCAACATAATGATTTAATAAGCAACTTCGAAAAGAATACTTCTATCAACCAGAGTGGCGACAACGGTATGAAAATTGAGGAGATTGCTAGAAAAACATCTGAAGGCGATATCAGAATGGTAAAAAGTAATAATTCGGCTGCGGGTGATTTTGAGAGCGCTAAAAAACCTTTGCCTGCCGCAGCTAGTGATGAAAATGTTAATGTTAGCGTCGCCAAAGCTGATGTGGCGACGTTAGACCGCAGACGGAACGAGAACATTATGGTGTCGGCGGATGAGCCACCGCCAGGCGCTGGTCTCGCGCCGACCGCGGTGAGACTGGCTCCCAGAGCCTCTCCAGAGGCTGACGACGTAGATTAAAACATAATAAAATTGTAAACCGCTTTGAATATATTCAGTTTATATGTATCTACAGCTTAGAATAAAGTCTAAAATTCTTGGTCGAAAATAATTTTATGAAAAAAAAAATGCTTAGATGGTACTTACTAAAGTGATAAGGGGGTAAGTGATTGCATAAGATGGATATAAAAATATTTATTTAAATCGATGCGAAGCGATTGTCATTTGTCTTTGATACATAGAATTGATATTGCAATTTTACATTCGATCTTTGTGAACCGATTAGAAAACTGTCTTTGCATAGTCAGAACAAACTATAGTAGTTATAGACTCATTAGATCTTAGGTTCTAATGATATATCAATACACTACACATGTTAACAGAACTTTGTGATGTTAGGTGTCGTAGTGACTCTGAAACCGATCGTTTCTACAAAAGGTGTTTGTAGTGTTTAATACGTCGCTGCCATTATTACATCGTATGTAAATATTTAGGTAAAGTTATATTTATTAGGATTTTAACGTGTTTGTGATTTGTTACTTTGGAACATGCTTAACTGGAGGAGCTGGAAGTCGGCGTTGTTTTTTCTTACAGATATTTAGTTGATTGCAATAAATATTTCATTAAAAATTGCCTTTTATTTCCATCCTATTCTATTCTATTTGTATATATACATATATTGTGACATGAGAACTTCACAGTTTTTAAATAAATTCCAAGCATTTCATTTGTACTATGTATGTCTTTTTTTCTATTTCGTATGTTATCAAATAAGATTCCATTTTGTTAACTTACTATGGATAAAAATATTACTTAGAATCCATTTTGATTTCGCATAACTTGAAACAAGATTGTTTGAACTTGGTTATCCATAATAAAATAAAAATACTTAGGGCCTGCCGCACCAAATTGTACTTTGTCTGACAACAATCTAAGGTGAAAAATATGTGATGGAAATATCGGGTTTGTTCCCTTAAGACAGTGACGTCATCTTTAAGGTATCTGAGCCTCTATCAGCCAGTGGTGGGTAGACCCTTAGTTAAGGTATTAATGGTGAGTATAGGACGAAATCAAAGAAAGAAAGACTTCTTTACAAATGTTTATTGTTTTTACAAAACAATTTTTTAAAAGTTGAGTTACATTTGCACGGTTTTTTGGACGCTATTTACAAACAAAACAAGTTATATAAAAGAGTGTTTTTACATATTATAGACGTTATGTAGAAGACAAATTTCAAAAATTTTATATTTTATAAAAGATACATTTCAAATAAACAAATGTAGATATTATTTATTACTACATTTGCACACTTACTAATCGTTATTTACAAGACAATTTCAATAGAGTTACATTTAAACGTTTATTACACTTAATTTACAAAACAAATTTTACAACTATAGATAGAGTTGACTTTTGCGTGTCCTCAGCATAATCTGAAACAAACATAAGTATGTTAAAATAATATCTAATAATAAATAATCATTCTAATGTCAATGATAAACATTATCTCACTCATGAACATAGTTATATAAAGGGAGATATTTACACTAACTCTATGGTGGGAAAGTTTAAGCGTCTATCCCACCAAATTGTAAATTGTCTGATAACAATCCAACGTGTAAAATATGTGATGGAAATACGGACATTGTTCCCTTATATGACAGTGACGTGATTTGTAAGCTATGCCTCTATCAGCCAACGGTGAGACAGGCCCTAAAGGTAGAGGGTAACATTTAAATAAATCAAATTAAATGTTATTACATTACTTTATATTATATGCTTGTTTCCATTGCACTTTACGTTACACTCAAAAACTACAAACTGTTTACTTTTAATCTAAACGAAGGATATATCGTAATGAAATCTCTTACCGATTGTTGTCCTTGAGAGTCGCAAATTAATTTTGTTAGATGCTCCGACGCCCGCGATGTCCCCTACGGTCTTGAATTTCGGGTGCTCACCCTGCATATCGACAGCAACAGCATCTAATAAAGGTAAACGAATTAGTAACATTCTTAATAATAGCAAGCAACATACGTATTAAGTAATTATTAATAGTACAATCATTAACACAAAAAGCTAGTTCGACCGTATCATACTGAAAGGATGGAATACGAATCATGTTTAAAGAAATCTAGCCGTATAGGGTTTGGTATACTTACATACGAGTACGCGTGAAAAACAATCCTAATCAGACAAATAATAATGGATTAATACATTAAATATTAAAACATTTACGTGCACACAATTACTACACACATGCAATAAAACAGTATAGCTTGAATATGAAAACTCGCCCATGTTGCGAAAAATATTGAAGTGATTCCTTTGGGCACATTAAGAAGTGTTTTTCTTAGATTATATCTTGTTCCACAATCTCCTGTTTCTACGTCTTGTTTGTAGTTAGCTTAGCGTTGTACTAGGACAAGAACTTAATGAGCCGCATACTATAGTAGTGCGAATGTCTCAATAACCGATACTATAATGTAGTTCATTAGAGATTTGTACGAATACAACGTCTAGGCATTCTTTAAATCTTCGTTTTGTATCTTCTAGGACTGTTGATTTTATTCTCGATAACTACGTGTATTCTCAAGCAATAACATCTCAAAATGTGTGTTAATTCCCCAAGAATACGCGTGACCATCAAGCATTGTCTTCGTCCTGTTGATTCCGTAGCGCTGGATCTTCGGTTGCTCCTTGATTGTTCATTCCTTCAGCTTGTTCCAAAACATTTACGCTAGTAATTTTCTTTAAAGAATTATGATTAGTTTCGAAACTATAATTCAATCTTAATCATATAACACAATGACAGAAAACTAGAATTACATTTTATTATTATATTATGATTAGAAAAATGTTAAGTAACATCTAAAATTGTCAATGCATTATACAATAATGACTAAATTAAGTTTCTTTCAATCCAAATTCAGATTAATTGAAACATAAAATGCACATTAAAACATAACAGTAATATAACATCAATAAGAAATATTCCATATAAAATTTAGTTTCTACTCATCTGTTTCTGAAGTTTATCCGGGCATTACCCGGGTCGAACTCGCACAAGAAGGGCAGTGGGACTAATCGCTGTATGGAGTGCGTCGGCACGAACACTGCTGTCGGCACATCCGGACATAGCCGGGTAATCCGGTCTCTGGAATACACCCGGATACAACCGGACATCACGCGTTGTCCGGGTTTAACTGTGAAATGAAACAAACGCATGATTGTCGAGATAAATCGTTCTCGATCGTCAAGATAAAGCCTTGTTTCTACCTATACGATTTTTCAGTAATGTTTGCGACTATTGCATATGCTTTCCTAGTACCTTCTCTATGGTAAATTCTAAAAACGGTTGAAATATTTTTGGTTATATCTAAGAATAAATTTGTTAATTATTTTTTTGATACCGACATTAATTGTGCACAATATCGAGTTCAGAAATTAATTAATATAACCTTACATAAATTATAGTGAAAAATAGTAGTACACCTCGGAGACAAAAACCTATTTTAAAAATATCCTTTTAGAAAAACAACTGGTGAAGCACTAAATACAAAATTAACCATTATTACTTTTTTCCTATACAGTCAAGTAACCAATTGATATGTAATGCACCTTTTTATAAAGGTAAAAGGTAGTATTAGTAAATAAAATTGTCACAAAACGAAATAAACCATAGGTTACTTAACCGCCTTACTATAAGAGGCTTTCGCTTCCTTTGACCTAAATGGTCCTTTTGATCTCTTAACAAAATAGATCAACCACAAAGCAAGTAATACTTTCTTACCACCTTATAAAGACGATTTTAACACCTTTTCATCTGGCCGTTGATCTTCAGCCGACAATCGGATATCAAACGTTTGCGGCGGTGGAGGTTTTATCCGGCTGTTATCTAGGGGCGGCCCCTTTGATCCACGCGGCGGCCTTTGAAGTCGCGCCCTTTGTGCTGCTCTCCGCTCGACCTGTGAAGACGGTTAAGATATTCTGTGAGGACACTATTTTCAAACCATGCAACAGTCTTATAAGTATTATTTATCTTGTTTTTGTTAAAGGGAAGTAACAGTATTGCTTAAATTTGTTTGAAATATTGTGTTATTTATATCTTTGAAATCGGTAATGTTTTTTTTCAGAATACCTTGGATATAACATTACTAAAAACGTCAACAATTTTGTATCCTTCTTTTCGAACTATCGATTCGCGGTTTAAAGACATTTATTTATTTAATTATCATTTTTTATTTATTCAACAGATTAATGTAATAGACGTTTCACGATATCAATAAAACCGCAGTAATGCCCTCTCCGGAAGCGGATACGGCATCAGGGTAATATTTCTCGCGACTCGACAGACTGGGCTTTGATTGGCCAGGAACCTGCAAACAGTGAATAGACATCGTATTAGTAGATCATCTTTTTAAATTTATAACCATGTAAATAATTAATTAAAGGAATTTCGCGAGCCCATTAAAACTAAAATTTTTGACTATATAATGTTCTGTGAGTAAATTAAGTAATATCCGAAATATTAATAACTTTTTTATGATTTAAAAGAAATACAACACAAATAATTTCTAAAAGTTTAAAGTAAACCAAAGGCAAACTGAATTGTTTCGTATACTTTAATACGTGCTTATTCTAAAATATACGAGTATATTCTATGTGGAATAAAGGCATTGAAACATTACTGTATGAAATATACCAGCGAGGGGACACATTCGAATGGGACTGTGCATTTTCATTGCGACGTCCGCGCCCGCCGCGCCTGATGATATTTACTCAGCATTTATACATTTTATTGTTGATTTTTAAGTAAAATATGACAATGTACAATATGTTACTAATGGATTTTGCTATAAAAAATTGATACAAATTTGACAATAAAAGCTAAAATATAAGGTATATCCAAAAAGATCGTCGGTGGTTCAGGGGTTTAAGCTCTTAACTTGTAGATTACAAGGATTACAATATATAGGTTTTGGGTTCGAATACCGCCACGTACCGATGTGATTTTCATTTTTTCGAATTTTCATATGTTATCTATGTAATTTACCCTACGTTCTTACGGTGAAGGAAAACATCGTGATGCAACCTATATCAACGAAGAAATTCAAAGATATGTGTGAAGTCAACCAACCCGCATTGGGCCATCGTGGTTGACTATGGCCTAGTCACACTAACTGTACGGTAGGCTCCGAGCCCCTCGGTGGCGACTGTAGTGAGCTGGTGATGATATTCAAAAATGTATCCTTTTAAATATCCATTTATTTATTAGATATATATAATATTCATTCGTAAAATTTTAGCTTAAAAGATCACTTGTAAGTTACCTAACAAAAGCGAATGAACGGCGTTAAAATGTTCAAAGCGAAGATTTTTCCGCGTCGTAACTAAAAGCTTTTACAATTCGCCCGCTTACAATTCGTCCTCGGGCGTGCGGTCGCACAAAGCAAAATTAATTTTAAAATACACCAAAAGAAATTAACTTTCATCCCGCGACCGGAGAGAGGTGAAAGTTTCCGTCGGGGGAACTCCGATAGACTTAAAAATAATAAAGAGGACGTAAACGTGCGCTACGGAGGGTAGCATCTCTTTATAACTTGACTATATTTTCACGGATGTTGGTA